GCAACTCAATATCTTCATCACGAGGTTAACAAGAAAATTCAATTAAGGCTCAAAGGGGATGACTAGTGATTATTATTCTCGACAAAGAAAAAGGAAAAGAGAGTACAAGAAATGCCTCAATCATATTCACGTCACATCAATCTAATCCAATTATTTCAAAGCAGTCTCAAGGCAAATTCTAATTAACAAGATTCAGACCAATATCACACAAGAAACAATAAGGCTCAAACCTCACAAGGTAAATATGTTCCTCAACACAACGAAGCTAATCAATTAAAGATATATTACTCGTGCTCATCATCACATCTTCTCAATTAAACCAACGATTATCAAAAAGCTTTGCACTCCACCAATGTCCAGACTCTGAAAACGCACAGAAACCTAAAAACTAGACTGGTCTACCACATAATCACGTAAAACTCCCCCACACTGAAAACCAGACAATGTCCCCATTGTCAAGTCGCGGTGAAGGAGACAGAAACAAAGAAACAAAGAACAAAGCAGACCACAGAACAGACCAACGCAAAAACAGAAACAAAGAAGCTGTACACAAATAAAAAGAGAAGGGAAAAAGAGAACATACAAAGCACAGTGACAAGTCACTGTGCATCCGGAGGTGATGGTGGCTGGTGGGGGTGAATGGGACCCGAACCCCAACGGGTGTCCCATTGAGTGAAGCGCTGGTCCCAGCTGTCCATCCGAGCGTCCTGCTGGTCCTGCCGCTCGCGGATTGACTGGAGGCCGCCAGCAAAAGTGTCGAACTGGGTACCCATCTGAGTCCAGTGGGTCTGCTGCTGGGTCTCCCACTGGTTCCAGCGAGTGTTCTGCTGTGTCTCCCAGCTGGTCCACTGCGTGGTCTGTCGGCTCTCGAGGGCAGCCCATCTGCTGTCCTGGGCGTCAAAGCGATCGTGGATCGAGCGGATGTCGGCGGTGTACTGAGTCTGAAAAGTGGACCACCATTCCGGCGGCTGCTGCGGGGGCATCTCCGGGTGAAAGTTCGGCGCCGGCGTCCAGTCGGGTGGAGGTGGAAGTAAGTGGTCCTCGTCGATATTCATCTGCTCATGCGCGTCCTCCGTCGGTTGCCGAGACGACCCTGCCGGATCGGAATTAGGCTGACCCTGCTGGAGCTTTTTGAAATAGGTCTCGTAGGCAGTACGTTTTGTATACTCCTTAGCTATCCGCCGGGTCAGAATAAGATCAGCCTGCTTGAGCTCATTAAAGTTGATACACCGCATCTCAGACTTGTCTTGAAGCGCCATTTCCCCATGTAATCGGTATGCTTCTGGAGTGACGTCGAAGTGGCGAGCGAGCGCGGTAACGAAATGTCCGAGCGCCGGTAGTCCACGCTTGGAAAGGGCAATCTCCTGGAAAGAGTTCTGAAGGAAGGTCATGGAACACACTCGGACTCCCGACCGCATCGCCCAGAGGAGAAAAAGCTCACCCTCACTGACTTTGTTCGCTTCCTTTTTGCCGGTGATATTGTAGCAAATGAACCGGTGCACAACGGCAGTGGCCAGGTCCTGGATAAGCCCGTTGGACATACCAGCGGAATCCCACGTCGTATGCGGGGAGAGTGCGGCCCAACTCTTCAGGGGATCAAAATCGGCGGCTTTGCTTCGTGTACCGGCGAAGTTGAACCCGCAAACCGCCTTCATCACGGCATTGTCCACCACGAGTTCTTGTCCCTTAAGCCGACAAGTGAAGAAGTCGTTCCCATCGGCGAGAACGAAAGAACTGTAGAACTCAAGCATAAGGGTCCGGTACGACCGCTCCTCAATCTTAGCGTAGTCAGTTAAGTTCAAGACCCTGAGGTACTTCATGACGTCCTCCAGGATACCCAACTCGTTCAAAAGGTCCCAGTCCACCGCCTTGGGTCGCACGACCTCCTTTTGCGAGAGACGGGCATAAATCTCGCCCTCCTTCCGCGAGTAAATCGGGAACGGGGCCCCGTATTGATCCGAAAGATCATCTCGTGCACCTTCCGGAGGGGCATCTCGAGAGGAGGACTCGCCCGCTTGACGCTTCCGAGGCGGTTCTTGAGTGGTTTTCTTTTTAGTGGGACGAAACGGATTCTTGCCCATTGGAACGGTCTCTCGGGCAATATGTCGAACACGTGGCGTGCGGTGTTTTGAAGTAGAGGCTTGTGAACAATGTGAACCGGCTCGATCCCGGAGTTGGCCTCCTCACGCCTCAACAATCAACGGACTTCAAGAGAGTAAGCTAACGGTACCTTACGGTGCGAGTTCGGGTTGAGCACGAGCAATTTCGTCACGAGCTAGGGTGCGAGTGAGGTGGGTACT